CCCTGAACACGAATATGGCCCCCATTTTGGCATTTGAGTGTTTTCTAGACCTAAAAGAGACATTCCCCACAAAATGCAAGAAAAGTTCCCTTCCAGAAATTCGAACCCTTCATAGCATGCCCGCGAAGCAAGACCGTTACAGCTTGACCCAATGCAAGCTCGAGAAATTGAACGTAGAGGCCGTGGGGGGGGTGCTTCCCGGCTATGCACGCAAATTGGCTGGCAACCGCGATCGACTCAGTTTTCCTTCATTTTAGTTCTAAGGAACCTTCATAATTCCTTTCAGAGAATGTTCTGCAAATTTCGAGGCAGATTCGAGATCAGCGTCCAAAACCACGTCTAGTGAGTTACATCTCATTACAAATGACCACTTCGACCCTGACTGACTCTTCCCTAATTAGATGAAGATGCGATTTTCGCTAAACACGTTTGTGTTTGCGGGAATTCTAGAGGTGGATATTCTTTTCGATGGCAGTCATTTTTCGATTTCATCGACCATGATTTTTCGTGTGGTATATGACAACTGAACTAAGGCCTGTACTGCTGCTGGTGAAAACTTTCGCGAAATATAACCACCTCAGAATTCCTCCACTGGAATTTTCCTTCATATTCTCCCATCCCCCGCCTATCTACCCTCCCCGTAAATTTCCAGCTTCCCACCACTTTCCCGGAGTTTTTTTCTTAAACTCCAGTTTTTGGGCCAAGAACCGAAACAATTTTTGTCAAGTGGCAAATGCCCCTCCCCCTCCTGCTTGACTCTAAAAGCCAAATAAGACCCTCCTCGTTGAGTATCCTTAACGTGTGTCGTGCACTGCAACTGACGATGGTTACAATCTTGTTCGCTGCGGATGAAGGGACGTGTCAGTGAGGCTGGGTTTGGGTCGTCGCCAGCCCATTCCTCACCAGTTGTTGAAATGAGGTAAGTGACCATAGCTGGTGGAAAACGACTGATGTGAGCGATATGATACAGTAGTCTCCTTGCCGATAGAAGAAAGGAAGATAGCTCTTGGCGCCGCACCAAAACCATCCTCTCTTGACACTCCCCGTCATCCACAGCGAACGATACTGTACAGGCGCATGTAGTGGAAAGTAACGAGGCCTGCCACGCCCACGATCCATGAGGCAGATCTCAGAGTGGCTCCCGTTCGAGGCAACCATACCTTACATACCTCAGCGTCTGAATTGGACTAGCATCATGTGGAAGGATCAAAACTCTAACTTGTACACTGGCTGTTCCTTTAATTCATTGTGCAGGTCAGTCGTCCCTAATTCTAAATGGAAATGAAATGAATATCGCAAATACGGGTGAGCAGTGGTGGGAACTATTCTTTTATTATACTTTTCATTACACGACAGTAGTATACAGCATGGTTTTCAGCGCATGACCTTTTTGACCTTTTTCGGAACTAGAAAACCTTTGGATCATCCTTAATGAATTCCACAGAAAACTGTTGATGTTCCAGGACAGCTTGCGTATGTCAGTTCGCGAACCCAGCCGGTTTTTCGACGGTTTACAAGATAACTGGTGAGATGTGATTAGATTGTAATTTTGATCTTGACCTCATTTTTTACAACTAGGACCGTTTTGGCGAACTTTATAACCGTTATTATTGTTAGTGCGTTTTTTATTTGAGTATTATCTGTTATTCATTATTGGAAGTGGTGGGAATGGTTTGCTGAATTCGGTTGTTTCTAGAATGCTTTATTTCTTTATTAATGTTCAGGTTTCATTATGCATGCTTTTGGAAAAGAATCAAACCAGGAAAAGTCCAAATCAATGAGAGGTCAATCAGAGGAATGGACTTGCTCAAATGGGATGATCAGGTATTTTTCTAACTTTTCATAGCACGGAATTCACGGCACTGTAATAGTTCACTGCATTCAGGAAAAAATTCGTGAAAAGATCAGAGATTTTATGAGTGGTGGCGATTGGGAGACTGCAGATACAGCGTTCTCAACTGTGAAAGTAGAGTACGCAAAGACGAGTAGGTAAGTGGAGAATCTAGGAATAATTCAGTGATGTTGTTTGACTGTTTGTTTATCTTAGGGGTAAATGTTTCACGTGTAAACTTCCTATAGCTCAAAAGGAGATGAAGTTTGGAAAAGGTTCCAACTGGTATCACCAACAGTGCCTCTTCAAAGACGAAAAAACGAAATATGGCGTAAGCTTAGAACACTTTTTTGAAAGGAAAAGGGGTTACTGAACTTCATAAGTTTCAGGGCAGCATTGAAGATATAGGTGGTTTCTCTTACCTGAACGACGAAGATCAACAGAGCTTGTTGGAATCCCTTAGGAACTTCGTGATGAAGCAAGAGTAGGTCTTGTCCAGTTTTTGGGATCATTGCTGATTGAAAATGTGACATTCGTAGGCAGGCAGCAATTTTTTCAGGGCCGATGATGTTAAGGAGAATGTCAAGGAGATAAGCAAGTAGGTCCCGAACCATTTGTTTTTCTAGTGGGGTCTCCCACGAAGTATAACATCATGGAAACTGTAGGTGTCACTAGCAATTAGAAACAAAGAAAAACATATTGGGGAAAGGAATACACTCAACATCGCAGATGAAGCCAAAATTGATCGAGTGCACGTGGAAAGGGATTTCTCAGTCAGGGTGCCATTTTAGTGCGATCGGAGGAGGGGTTCTAGTTTTGCAAGGGCGAAAATAAAAGAAAAACAGGTGAACGAGGGCAGTTTTTATGAGAGCCGTCATAGCGTAAGTGCGAACAGTTCACTGGTGGGATTATGCTCGATTCTCAGATTTGAGCCAATTGTCGCTCCCTTTCCATGATTACCCTATTATAAAGTGACACATCTTGAGTGGAACTGAACATATTGTTTTATAGACGGCAGATTGCTAATACTGGCCAGGAACAAGATGATGCTGTACCTGCAAAGAAGCGTCGTGGTAAAGCTCAGCAGGTCTCGAACTTGGAACTGCTGAAGGTGCATTTTAGGTGTTTCACTTGTCGTATACATGTATCAAGTAATGAGTCACCCAGAGGGCGTCGGCAATTTTGGGATGAACTCAAATGTACGCGGCACTATTTCAGTCCTGCCTAGCGAGTAGAGGATGTTGGTGGTCAAGCAGACAAAAATTTGTAGTTCGTCTACGAAACAATCGAAAAAAAAAACCGAGAAAGATGGGGTGAAGTGAGCAGCTGGCTGGCCTACGAAGTCAAGGGGAACCCATCTGTAGCGAGCGAAGTATGCACTGATTGGGGGGAGGGGGGTAGTGAATTGGAAGGCGGCGAATTGAAAGCTGAATTTCAACGTTTGCAGTGCAATTCTCGAACAACCCAAAGACTGGAATTCAAAATCAGGACAGGTGTAGAAGAACCGCCATGTGTGGACAAAGCCAAACTCTTCCTGAGATGATGTGATGGTGGTAATGGAAGTAAACACTGGGTCAATGATTCTATGATTCCATTGTTGTTTCATTGTGTCATGATTCTACCGGCACCCACGGGGTACTGCGATTCTGGATTGGTAGTTTGTGCGGGAGGGAGGGAGGGGGTGGGGGGCCGCAGTTGCACCTGATGAGGTTGACGTTAGGGAATGCAGTCCCATCGAATTTTTTTTTCTATGATTCTAACTACCTTCTCGAGGTTGGATTTGGATTTTGCATACATTTAATCCCATCTTTAAGAAGCAAACGGACATGATGTGGGAATTGCGCAACGGCTTCAGAGAAAATCTTTCAAAGCACGAAATGACTGAGTTGCTCACATCCAATAATCTCATTGCTCCATCTGGGGAAAGTAAGGTATGTTCCATCACAGATATTTTTATTGCTTTTTTGACAGTCTTATCTTTGTGTTCAGATAATTGAGTACCTCGTCGACGCTGCCATGTTTGGATGCTGCAAGCCATGTGAGAAATGTGGAGGTGCTCTCATCTATAGGTTTGTCGCTATGCGTTATGTAGCTTGACATGGTGAAGAGCGGTTAGCTTTATTAGGTCTTCCAGTCCTCGATGACCAATCGTCCGGATTTTCCCTATATTACTATGTCTTCTTTGTGATTGATAGAATGAAACTCTTCCAAGCAGTAGGAAAAGAGCACGATAAATCCCTTGGGCATGTAATACGGCCAATCACCAAAGACTTCTGCGCCCCTGGGAAACCCTACATGATGCCTTTTCAACAAAGAGCAGTCTCTAAGCATCCCAGCAGGGCTTAGCATACAAATCCGCCCTCCCTTCAGCAAGGACACGCCCTTAATGGCCACCGATCAGCAACTGATCACCATCGGATCAGATGTATTCACCCACGACGTGCGGCCGAATTGCGCTTTTTCCCCATTTTCGGTGTTTCTTCTTGATTAGTGAGACACATATCTCCCTCTGGCAAAGTGCGAGGCTTTTTTTAAAGCAGTGCTCGTTTTGTAGTTCCGAAGTTGTTCTAATTTTTTTGCTTTTCCCCACTTGACTCGCGCAAACTTTCGACAGCTGCTTCGTGAAAATGTCCTTAGCATGTTCCTGCTTCTGTTAAAGATCCCTGTTGATATTACCGTGAAGTTTGCTACTGCTTGAAATTATATTTTTTTTTCATATTCGCTGTGCAGTAACTAGGATTTTTTTCACATCGATCTTTGACCACCGATGTTTTATACGGGCGTAGACTCATACACTTCCTGATTGGAGCGGCTATCAAGGGTACCAGTTTGAACGTTTTATGCCGTTTCGTCCACCGTTTCATCCCATTTTGCCTTACTGTAGTGCTCAGAATCCCATTTGGTGCTGAGTGAAATTGTTATGCACACTGCTTCAAACCGTTCCTCAGGTCTACAAATATCACATCATAGCCTACCCCAGCATTAATCCAATTCTTATCCTACTATATATAATCCGCTAAGTTTGTCTGTTGTGTGTGTGTGTGTGTATGTGTGTTTGACCGGAAATTCATAACTTTCTTCAAAATAGCGATAAAGCGCTCAAACTTATAAGTGATGTAGGGGGTCGGGCAGGAACACTATTGGTGGGTGGCAGGAAGTGATAACAGTTGATAAGATACCATAAGGGGCCTTATAAAGGCAAAGTCAGCAAATTCATAACGCGCGTCACAGCAAAGCTAGAGCGTTGGCTCCAAGAAGTAAGATAGGGGGCAGGATGGGAACATTATTGGTGGGTGACAGGAAGTGATAACAGCTGATAAGATACCACAAGGGGCCTTAAAAAGGAAGGGTCACCAGCTCCATAGCGCGGACCACAGCGACGACGGGATGTGGGTTCCAAGAAGTTAGATAGGGGGCAGGATGGGAACATTATTGGTGGGTGGCAGGAAGTGATAACAGCTGATAAGATACCATAAGGAGCCTTAAAAAGAGTGGTTACCTAAATAGCACCAACCACAACAGCGATGGACGTTGCTTTCAAGAAGTTGGATAGGGGACAGGATGGGGAAATTAATGGTGGGTGACAGGAAGTGATAACAGCTGAATAAGCGTACCAGAAGGACCTTTCTGAAGAGCCGTCTCCGTAGTCTAAGCACGAGTTGTTTAGCCAACAGCTTGGTACTGTTCTAGCAAGTCATCGAGGGCTAAGAAAATATTGGTGAAAGGAGATAAATTGTGATATAGTGTGAGGAAGGAGGTCATAAGATCTGTTCGCATCCTTACTGCTCAGCCTGGACTTCAGCACCGGTGCCCAAGAAACAGTGGTCAGAGTTCTTGCGATGAGTCAAATTTATTCTATCCCTTACCAGGGAGGTCGTTCAGGATATGGCGCGCTTTTTGAAAACGGTTTTTTGCATTGTGTAGGGGCACGTTCATGGACTACCAAACTGACGTTCATTTTTCCTAAATGGCTCTTTGAATACCAAAAAAGGAGTGAAGAAGAAATGTAAGGAAACGGGCTGGTTTTGAGCTTCTATGGGCTCCAAATCACTTCCAACTTTGACCAGTGGCTGAGTAGTGGGTCCTTATAAAGGCACTATAGGTATCGAGGAGGAAAGTAGTCGCGAATGGGGTCTTATTTGCGGCACGTGATTGACAGCGAACGCCTCTGGGCGGCTTGTCGGGATGGTTTCTTCAATGATGGGAGCGGTGTTCAGCTACAACGATCGGATGGCCTAGTGGATAGCGTGGAGGATTCTCAATCGGAACGTTAGGGTGGGTGTTGATGGTTCGACTCCCCTCGGCGTGCCAATTTTTGCATTTTTTTAGTTTTGCTACCCTCGCCTCCATAAATGTCTCTGCATGAGGATAACATGGATATTTGCCATTTATGGGCAAATTCTTACCTGTAGGATCCGCGACTCGGTATTATAACACTATTACAGTTTTCTCCTACAATTAGGCAAGGCTGCTGCCGAAAACTGATTTTTACGTGTAAGTAAGTGATGAGATTATCAATTTGTCACTTAATTTTAGCTGTGGTGCCATTTGACTCCGATTTGCATCCACATCACTCTCCTACGGAATTCACTATGGAAATCCATACAAGGGACGTTTCGCGCTATCCTGCCGTCAGATTGCGTCAGCGCCAGAAATAAGTGTCAGAATCGTGTTCAGGACCATCAATAACCCCTATAGACGAAGAATCGCTCAAAAAAATTTTTTTCGACCTTTTTGGGTGTGTGTATTGGATTGTGTACACCGAGCCTCTCCACTGAAATCCTACTTTGCCTGCTATTTAAACCTTCCCATTTACTGATTAGTAAACATAAAACTGACAACAAGATGCACCACTGGGAAAAGAAAAATCCAGACATCCCTCCAGGTGCATTTGGAATTTTGCAAACTTAAACGACTCTGTTCTGCGGCTGGAGGAGAATGACACCTTCGTCGGTGAGCACCCGCTAGGGGTCGACAAAGGTCCACGATGGTTGTTCACGTATTCCACATGCATCCAGACTTATAACTGCGTGGAAGGACCTTTGGTGCAACGAATTCGCGATGCGGCTGCTCGGCGGCGCGCTACGTCATCTTTACGTCACCGCCCTTGGCAAGGTGTAGGACTTCGGTCATAATCGTCGACCAAATGGGCCGCCTTAACCAAAGACGGTCGGAAAAATTTTTTTGAGCGATTCTTCGTCTATAGGGGTTATTGATGGTCCTGAACACGATTCTGACACTTATTTCTGGCGCTGACGCAATCTGACGGCAGGATAGCGCGAAACGTCCCTTGTATGGATTTCCATAGTGAATTCCGTAGGAGAGTGATGTGGATGCAAATCGGAGTCAAATGGCACCACAGCTAAAATTAAGTACCAATTGATAATCCCATCACTTACTTACACGTAAAAATCAGTTTTCGGCAGCAGCCTTGCCTAATTGTAGGAGAAAACTGTAATAGTGTTATAATACCGAGTCGCGGATCCTACAGGTAAGAATTTGCCCATAAATGGCAAATATCCATGTTATCCTCATGCAGAGACATTTATGGAGGCGAGGGTAGCAAAACTAAAAAAATGCAAAAATTGGCACGCCGAGGGGAGTCGAACCATCAACACCCACCCTAACGTTCCGATTGAGAATCCTCCACGCTATCCACTAGGCCATCCGATCGTTGTAGCTGAACCTGCTCCTCATTTGAAGAAACCCATCCCGACAAGCCGCCCAGAGGCGTTCGCTGTCAATCACGTGCCGCAAATAAGACCCCATTCGCGACTACTTTCCTCCTCGATACCTATAGTGCCTTTATAAGGACCCACTACTCAGCCACTGGTCAAAGTTGGAAGTGATTTGGAGCCCATAGAAGCTCAAAACCAGCCCGTTTCCTTACATTTCTTCTTCACTCCTTTTTTGGTATTCAAAGAGCCATTTAGGAAAAATGAACGTCAGTTTGGTAGTCCATGAACGTGCCCCTACACAATGCAAAAAACCGTTTTCAAAAAGCGCGCCATATCCTGAACGACCTCCCTGGTTAGTGATATGGTTGCGACTGCTAAGCTCTCGAGTTTCGACGAAAATTAAAAGCCCTGGAAGCTGCTCAACGGAAGTACTAGGATGTGAGAAATGTGAGGATATTTCACCATGATATCGATGTTATTACCATCGAAAGTCTTTCAACCGCTAAGCTGTCCTATTTCCAACGGATGGTGAGTGTTTCTTAGAAATGTGATAAGCACCAGACATTAGCAAACGTTCATTAAATAGGAGAAACATAATGAAATAGGCCGTATTCTAAAAAATTGTAATCGGGCGAAGTGTTTGGGGTCAATACAGAAATCCTGTCAGCGATCAGTACCATTACCATAGGTTCAACCATACGCGCAGTAGTGCGCGTCAGCCAAGCTGGTACATACATACCAAGATGGTGAGGGAGGCAATCAGCCAACAACTTACCAGCTTGTATTAATGAAGCCGGTCAGTTGTTAGTTGATTTTTTTTCCATCTTTGGATTTCTTGCTACGTCAGTGAGCTAAATGGTTCGGTAGAGTTTCATTCTATCAATCTCAAAGAAGACACAAGACATCGAATGTCAGAATCCCTCTGGTGTTACTCATACATATTATTTCTCAATGTTTCATGTTCCATTCGTCTCGCTATGCCGTCACCATATTATTTGATGTTGTTTCAGTTCGTCTATGAGGACCTACAGATGCAACGGACAACTCTCAGAGTACACAAAATGCACTTATCGAAATGACAACCCCGAGCGTACTAAGTTTGTCATACCGAAAGATATGATGAAAGAGAATCCGTACCTGAAAAAGCTCAAAGTCAATGTCAGTGAAGTTAGCTTTCATTTTAATGAAATGGAAACTCTTTATGTACCATAGCTCAAGACGTAAACGTATCCTATGTATTTGTCACCATCGTCGTGTTTTGCAAGACCGTAATTCTCGAGATCACACTTGGTTGCTTGGTTGTTTAGATCCGATTGATAGGCCAAGCTTGCGCTGGTTTGAAAAATTTTCTGCTCATGAGTTCCACCTTAATTTCAGCTTATGCCGGAGCGTGTATACAACGAGTCTGCAGCCAAAGAAGCAATTTTGGAGTTAGTAGTTTTTGCTTTGGAATGATCGGGAACGATTTTCTCAGCATTATGGGATCTTTTAGTCATTCCGATGCTTTCAAACGTTTCGGATCTCGTGGCATGACAAGCAACTCAAAAGGTGGAGATGCTGATGTGAAAAGCATGGGAGGTTGGTGCAAAGTATGCAATTGCCATTAAAAAAGCAGTCCACCGGCGTGTTCACTCGCAAAAATCAGTGGCTTGGCATATTTTCCTAACGCTCTGCTCACAGCACTTATCCTGTGTGAGGCGATCCATGATGGAGCTTCAGCGCCTATATGTGTACGTCCATACTTTGCGTCAGCTTTTTGAGCGAATGGCAGAGGTTTGAGCTTTTCGAGCTCACGGCAGCGTCTTGAGCTTCTCGGGAAGTACAGGTATAGATCTG